CAAACTGACCCACATTTGTCTCCTTCCTTGCCAGGAGGCTGGGAGATTCCTGGGAATGGTGCGAAAGATATTCCAGTGATCTACAGGTGAAAGGGAGAAATTGTCTACCCCTTGTAGGAATGGAGGAGTAACTTCATCATCATCAGTGCTTTTTCAGAAGTTATATATTTCTGACTTCTCTCCCAAAGGTCCTGAGGATCTCAGGTAACCCCTTCCCTCTTTGGGAACCTGTAGAACCCACAGGATGGGTGGGTAGGAAGTTTAATTACAAAAAAATTATGAAGCTGGTAAAGCCATCCATGCAGTGGTGGTTTTGGGTAATTTTTGATAACTGAATACTTCTCCCATTCTCATCCCATGACCCCTGTGGCTTCCTGACAATGAAGAAGCAGGGACCTTGTGATCTTTGGGAGAGAAGTCAGAAAGGTTTAATTTCTGAAAATTCACTGCTTCTGATGATGTCACCAGCCTTACACAGCTTGTTATGGCAACAGGATTTCAGCCAGTATCTGTTGTGCACTGACTTAGGGTGAAATCCAGTTAGATCCCACGAGAGTAGACCTAACTGAATCAACATCACTTTGGTATGGTTGTTGTGGGTTTTTCGGGTTCTTTGGCTGTGTTCTGAAGGTTGTTCTTTCTAACGTTTCGCCAGTCTCTGTGGCCGGCATCTTCAGAGGACAGCACTCCTCTGTGCTCTGGTCCTCTGAAGATGCTGGCCACAGAGACTGGCGAAATGTTAGGAAGAACAACCTTCAGAACATGGCCAAAGAGCCCGAAAAACCCACAACAACCATTAGATCCTGGCCGTGAAAGCCTTCGCAATCACTTTGGTATGTCAAGACTTCTGCAAATTCCATTAATTCATTGAGGCTCCTTCAGTTGAGACTAAGCATTGGATTTAACTCTTAGAAAACAAAGCCCAAGCCCACACAGGCCAATATACACCAATGTGCTACCAACAAATTGCTATTATGTAGTGAGAAATAAATGACCCGGAGAAGGACAAATATGCCAGCCCAGGAGTTACTGAAATGTGCTTCCAGTTAACTTAACATGGCTTTCTTTGAGTCAATCCGTCTTGCACATGGTCTTCCTCTTTTCTTGATGTCTTCCACTTTTGCCAACATTATTGTCTGATGTACTAAAATATGATATGCTTTCTCTGATCTAGACATTCTGCATGCTTATTACCATAATACCTTTGTCATTTCACTTCTACTGCATACTTCTTGTTTTTAGTCTGTAGTTTATTCCAAACAAAATGCCTAAGTCAGTGGTTCAGTAATGTCAGGGAAGAAACCAAGCCACTTGTCTGATTTAAAAAAACAAAGCAAAATAGGTTTGCCGTTTCTAAAGGATGCAATAGATCAGTGGTTCTTAACCTTTGTTCCTCAGGTGTTTTTGAACTGCAACTCCCAGAAACCTCAGCCAGCAGAGCTGATGGTGAAGGCTTCTGGGAGTTGCAGTCCAAAAACATCTGAGTAACAAAGTTTAAGAACCAGTGCAATAGATGACAATGCAAAGAAAGCTTCATGCCCCAATAAACTAGATGAACCCTCAGCTGGTTTTTATCTCTTGGGATTGACATGTGGCCAAGCAGTAGCATACTCTTGCTCTCAGCAAAGAGTAACAGGTTGACTAAGTATTAATGCATGTTTACTGTATGGTTTCCCTATAGTTACTATGACCTAATGGAAAGGAATGTGTATCAATAGCCAACAATCGCCATCAGAAAAAAGAGCTGTGTGTTGAAATCCATTCCTGTTAGGTCAATATGGGATCATAGTCTAAGACAAGGTACTCTTAAAGCAGTATTTCAGATCCTTTTGTGTAGTCAAAATGCCCAAGTGTGGTGATGTTTTATCCTCATGGCTGTCAGTAAGCTGGTGGCATGAATTTTTATGAAATATTTAATCACTGTGCTCTTACTGCAAATGTCCCATCCAATACACCTGGTCTTCTGCGGTAACAAGTAACCAGGAACAGGAGAAAGCTGACATGGCACATCTTGTCATGATTTTGGAATGCTGTAATGGTGGTCATCCTGGCTGATCTCTGGCAATGGATGGTGATTTGGAAGGATATCAAGTACTGTTGGATGTGGCTTGGTTTCTCCAATTTTATGTAGTTTCACTGAAGAACTTGGTTCCGTGCTTTTCATTGCTTCCATGGTTCTATATTGTTTTAACTTTCTAAGTTAACTTGGTGTGTAGCGTTTGGGAAATGGCCTATGGATTGGAAGTGTAGTGCACAAGTACACAATAACTAACAGATATCTAGTTGAGATTTCCATCACTTGATTTTCCTGCACTTTGTAACAAGCAGCTAAATATGTGAACCAATTAAACCACTGTACTGTAGCCAAAGCTGTGCTCACGACCTGGGGTTCGATATCTAGTTGTGATTTCCATTACTTGATTTTTCTGCACTTTGTAACAAGCAGCTAAACATGTGAACCAATTAAACCGCTGTACTGCAGCCAAAACTGTGCTCCCAACCTGGGGTTCAATCCCAGGTAGCGGCTCAAGGTTGACTCAGCCTTCTACCCTTCCGAGGTCGGTAAAATGAGTACCCAGCTTGCTGGGGGTGTGTGTGTCAATGTGTAGCCTGCATATTTAACTTGTAAACCGCCCAGAGAGTGCTTGAAGCACCATGGGGCAGTATATAAGCAGCACACTTTGCTTTTAATATGAAGCTAGATCTGTGGTTGCCTTTCCTTCATGTTTACCGGGCATCCCTTCAAGCTGTGGTGATCCCATGATAAAGAGCCTCCTTAAAACTGTGTGAATCAGCCCTGAGATGAGGAGAAAATGTGAGGAAGGGTGGAAATACAGTAATACATGAGGGATTTAAATCAGAAACTACCAAGGAAGAAACAATTAAAAAGTCTTGCAGCATTTTAAAGGTTGGCATATTGTATTATTGACTGGGGAACTGCAGTCCCCTTCATCAGATGCTCTCCTCGATACTCTAGAGTAAGTACAAGAAAGCTCATATCATACCAAGTTTGTTGGGTGACACAAGTGCCTTATTTTTTGCTGCAACAGCCAGGATCCGTGTGTGTGTGTGTATGTGCTAACCTCTTTGGAAAGCACTAACCAAATCTGTATTAAAAATGACTGAAAGATCTAAGCTGCAGCCTCATTCAGGCGCACCAGAAAAGCAAGCTTCACTGAACACAGTGCCATCTTTTCAGGGCGAGCAAGCCTGGGATCAGGCTGTGCTGGATGCCAAATCTCCTGCCCCTCCGTGTATCATTTGGGTCAACCCTTTCCCCATTTCACACGTACTAGCCAGGGTTGCGTTTGGCTCCTTTGACCTTGAATCCAGCTGGAGGCTCAGCAGCTTGTCTGGTCGCTTCCTACTCCGGGTTCAATTTACCCCCACCCCGATCCCCTGTCTCTGGCGCCCCGTTTCTTCTTCAACCGCTCTGCTTCTTTTTAATGGGCTGCCCCACCGTCGTTCGGCCCCGACCGCCCTCCCCTCCCCTCCGGTTTCTTTGCTGGAGCCCCTCCGGATCGTTCCCTTCCTGTCACGCGAGGAAAGAAAGGGACCTCCCGAGCTCTTTTGGGGAAATCTCTACATCAGCTGACCGGGTCTCTGCAGCAAGAGGATTGCCGCACCACTGCCGCATTTTTATTTTTATTTTCATTTCCGTGTGTCTGGCGGGATGGAGGGGCGGCGGGGAGGGGGAGAGCAGGAGGCTAGCCTCTTCAGCTGTCGGCCGGCCTGGACCGAAGAACGAAACGGTCTCCGCCCCTACCCCCCCACGCTTCCAAAGCCAGCTCTGAACCGGCTTCCCTCTTCACCTTTCTTTTGCAATCAGG